TGCTGAACCCAGTTACTGACAGACAAGTATTTCTTAAGAGTAATTCTATCATCTCATCACACACGTATAATTGAGTCTTTGAATTTAATGTGTGGCTTGTCTCCTAATCTTGCAAGTTAGAAGAAACCTGGAATGAATAATGAACAAGCTTAAATGTACCAATTCCTGTAAATTCTATCTTGAGGCAAAATAAGTGAAAGTAGTGAAGTTTTATGTTTGGACTATGGATGTGTGGGGTCTTTGAACTACACACCAGTTTATTACATTAACTTTAACCAAATACATTAAGATTTTGCTGCTCACGAGAATATATTTTATAGTAATTCCCTGATATTTTGATTCATTGTATGTTTTGCTGATAATACTATTGTATTCAAATTTTGAATTAAGTACTTTTACTTCCTCTAAACTGTAAATCGCTAGGATTGATCCTCTGTTTGGAATCAGATTGAGATGGTTTGGACATGTGCAGAGGAGGGGGGCAGGGGGGCAGAATACATATGCACGCCACACTTTTCAGATTTTTATTTGTAAAAAATCTTGAACACCACATATTGTTTTCCTTCCACTTCACAATTATGTGATACTTTGTGTTGGTCTATCACATAAAATACATTTAAGTTTGTCCCAGGGACAGAGGCGTCACGTCCAGCAGCAGCAGGTCCTGAACATTGCCTGAGGTGTCACAGGTGCCTGGGAGAATGGCGGCCTCATTATGTAATACTTTATTTTGTTATAAAAGAAATAAGTCTTGTGAGCGAGTTTGTGAGACATGTATAAACAGTTGCATCTGCATAGAAGTACTAGAGCATACAGTATTGTTCAAAATAATAGCAGTACAATGTGACTAACCAGAATAATCCAGGTTTTTAGTATATTTTTTATTGCTACATGGCAAACAAGTTACCAGTAGGTGCAGTAGATTCTCAGAAAGCAAACAAGACCCAGCATTCATGATATGCACGCTCTTAAGGCTGTGCAATTGGGCAATTAGTTGAAAGGGGTGTGTTCAAAAAAATAGCAGTGTGGCATTCAATCAGTGAGGTCATCAATTTTGTGAAATAACAGGTGTGAATCAGGTGGCCCCTATTTAAGGATGAAGCCAGCACTTGTTGAACATGCATTTGAAAGCCTGAGGAAAATGGGTCGTTCAAGACATTGTTCAGAAGAACAGCGTACTTTGATTAAAACGTTGATTGGAGAGGGGAAAACCTATAAAGAGGTACAAAAAATTATAGGCTGTTCAGCTAAAATGATCTCCAATGCCTTAAAATGGAGAGCAAAACCAGAGAGACGTGGAAGAAAACGGAAGACAACCATCAAAATGGATTATTACTATTATTTTAAAGTGCAATAATAGAATTTAATTAAAAAAAAGAATAAAAACATACATTTTAAACATTAAGGGAGATAGTAATTCCAGTGCAGATCATCCCGTAAAACATTTTAAACAATACAACTTTTGAATATTGCATAAACTGTGCATTCAGTAGAGCAGCCTAGTGATAGTTCAGTAGTTTAAGTGGGCGTGTAAGAGGTATTTATGCCTATCCAGTGTATTCACTGCAGCAGACAGTGCTCAGCACTCTCCTTGTTTGCAAAAGCATTAAGGTATATGTAGACAGCATCAAAAACATTTTCCCCAGGTTTCACAGACCAGGCCTAAGGTCAGTCCCAGACTAAAAAGAATGTTTGAGCTGTTACAAAAGAAAATAATTTGCCCTAACATATCTTAAGATATGCCAGAGCATTATTTTTCCTAAGATATTTTTTTTTTATAAAAGTTACTTAAACATCCTGATTTAATGAAGGCCTAGTCCTGGCTGTGGAACCTTTATCATCCTAAAAGAAGTATTTTTGTTGTGTTGCTGTCCCATGTGCTCAGCACTGTAGCTCTGCTTCTGCACACTGGAAAAATGCTGAGCATTAAACACAGTCTTCTATGAGTAACACTAACTAATGTTACAGTAATGCTTAAATCTTTTGCAACATCAGCAGATCTAATCTAATATGATTTAAAATGTAGCGAAGTACAATACTTCAAACAAAACATACTTAAGTAAAAGTAAAATTACAGATTTTTAAATAAAGCTCAAAGCTTGAAATTAACCCTTAACCAACATTTAACCCTTAATATAATTTGCATTGATTGTTTGGGTTAATCTGGAATGTGTTTTACAGTATGGGGAGAGCATCTGCATATTTTATTGTATAATCACGATATAATCATTATTTGGTATGAATGACCAAAACACTTGAATGACCACACAGACTTTTCTGAACTTTTATTGCTGTCATGTGATTGAAACAGTGCCAGTGCTTCAGTCGTGCTCTTTAGAGGCTGCTATGGCTTCAGTTGTCCACCAGATGTCACCGTCACTGAAGTCTTGAAGCTTTGAATCGTTTTCGGCACAGTTGTTAGGAAAGCCTCAGTGCTTCATGAGGCTTCACTTGCCCACCACTATTATTCTTTCATCTTTAAGACCTTTATTGACAGGCCACTCAGTGGAACCCTTCGATGTATGTATTTGTGGAGGCTGACCTTCTGGCTACTTCTAGACGTTTCACACACAACACTGTCAAGGCAGCGTTTGTGTCAAGTAATCATCCGGTTCATCATGCCAAAATAAAATCCATAATCCTAATTTTACTGTTTTATTACGAACAAATTTATGCTAAGATAAGATGCGTTCACAAGTTAACACTTGCTCTATGCTGTTTTATAACACAGACGTTGTCATAGCGCTGAAAAAGCAGCTTTCCGCTTTGTATTGTGTGGTTTATAAAATGTTAACAGGAAGTTGTATCTGCCACAGAAGCTGACTTAACGGCAGGCTATTGCGTGTGTGAAACTTCTGGAAGTCGCCAGAAAGTTGTGGAGTTGTCCTCACAATGTGACGTTATTCATTCATTCATTCATTCATTCTTTTGTACAGGTTGTTGGCAAAACAATAATTCTGGGGCAAGTGCAATCGTATGATGTAAAATTTGTATGTTTTCTGTGATTATTATGTAATCATCTTTTGGTTTTGGACTTGCCTGAAGAAGTAAAAACAGTGTAAACTTATGTGTCACATATAAACTGTTCCAAAGCTGTGAGGTGTCATGGTTATGTTTCAAATCGTCTCAGTGATCACAAAGTTATGCTGAAAATGTGACAGTAGATTACACTATTCAAAAGTCTGCTACTGTATTTATACATAAAGTTAACCTGCACATGTTGCTGGCTGACCAATTTGCCTGCTAGTGTGTCAGGCATATGCAAACCAACAACATTTTCAGTTGATATAACAATTATTATTATTATATTAGGCCTACATTATTTTCTTGACTGATCAGTCAATCATGTAAAATGTCAGCAGGCAAAAAAGTGAACAAGGCCTATCATAATATTACCAGGGTGCTGTATTCAGATTGTTATTATTTAAGAATAGTCCAAAACTAAAAGATGAGTACATAATAATTACAGAAAGCATACAAAACACTTGCCCCAGAAGCAACATCTGATTGCATTGTTTTGCCAACAACCTCTACAAAAGACATGAATTAACGAACGAATGAATGAATGACGTCACATTGTGACGACAACTCCACAACTTTCTGGAGACTTCTAGAATTTTTACACATGCGCAATAGCCTGCCGTTAAGTCTGCGTCTGTGGCAGGTACAACTTCCTGTTAACATTTTTAAACCTCACAATCTAATATGGAAAGCCGCCTTTTCAGCGCTATGAAAACGCCGGTGTTATAGATCAATATAGAGCAAGTGCTAATTGTTAATACATCTTATCTTAACATGATTGTTTCTTAATAAAATTGTGAAATAAGGATTGGGGTTTTTATTTTGGCACAATAAACCGGAAGTTGTACTTGACACAAACGCTGCCTTGACAGTGTTGTGTGTGAAACGTCTGGAAGCAGCCAGAAGGTCAGCCTCCACAAATATAAAGCGGCTGGTCGGAGAACAGAGACATGAGGAAGACGTCCGCAGCAGAAGATCCCGAGAGGAAGAGGATCAGTCCGCAGCAGAAGATCCAGAGAGGAAGAGGATCAAAGATCCAGAGAGGAAGAGGAGAGGAAGAGGATCAGTCCGCAGCAGAAGATCCAGAGAGGAAGAGGATCAGTCCGCAGCAGAAGATCCAGAGAGGAAGAGGATCAGTCCGCAGCAGAAGATCCAGAGAGGAAGAGGATCAGTCGTCTCTACTGCACATACCACTCAACACTAAACTGTAGGTTCAACCTTCACCTATGAGAGCAAAGTGAACATAGATTTTTAATACATTAATATTTTGTAAATTCGTAGCCTTCATATATTTTACTTGGCAGTAATGTAACGTTAACATTAAGTGGAACAAAGAGTTAGGTTGAGTAAAATGTTTACATGTGCAGTTTTGGTTCTTCATACCTTGACCTAACTACTTTGTAGAGGCAGATAGCCTATAGTACTGTTGCGCCACTACATTTATTTGATAACTTTAGAGACTTGTTACTTTTCAGAATTAGATTGCTGAAGCAAG